GGATGCTAGTGCTAAAAAAATTTATAATGACACTGAAAAAATAGCTGAGGTAATGCTTGGAAGTGCTGGGATATTCAACAAGGGTCGGGAAAACACCTTAATGAAAGTGGATGATCTTTGGAATCTTTTGTTTGAGATTGTGGTTGAGGAGGAACATCCTGATGATGCTTACATATTCCTAATTAACTCTCTAGAGAATCTAAGAGGTTTGCTTGGTTGTCCAAAGTATAGGCGGAAGCAAATTCTCATGAGGATGATGTGTAGGGCATCTATGCCATCTCCGCCTCATTATTAGCTTGCTACTTACTCATCTTTAGTATATGGTTTATGTTTCTCGTTTTCTAAGTTATCTAAACTTTTTGTGGATGCATTTGGATATGTAATGGCAATGGAAAACTTGTTTTGTCACTTTTTAGTACGACAATTGCAAACTTGGATTTGCTAATTCATGGATGCTTATGGCAAAACTTGGTTGGAAAATTGGTGGTTTACTTTTGTTAAGAACATGCGATAATTGTGATTAAAGTGTTTCATGTTTTGATAAGCTAAACACACACATGCTTGAAATGTGATGTCTTCTATTGTGTTTTTTATTAATTTTTTTGAGATCTCTCAGTTCTTGTGCTCTAGCTCTTTGCCGAGTGTTGTGGTTTTCATTTCCATGCTCAGGTTTTGTTGGATAGATTTATTTGTGTGCATTTGGCAGGAAATTAGTTATTTGTTTAAAATATTCAGGCACTGGGTAGAAATGAGGCCAAAATTAGGGGATTTAATTGGTTATGCTTCTTAATCTGTGGTATGGTTGTTGATCATATAAACACTTATGTGTTGTTGGTATGTTGATGGATATCTTGTTCTAATATCTTTTTAGCCAAAATTGTTAAACTTTAGCTGCAGACTGTAATTTATAAAAAATGATGCTGCAATTTATGTTGTTTGGTTCACATCAACTGTTGTTGTTTTGTTATTATTTATAGTTGTAGTTTCAAGAAAATAAAATAAAAATGAACTAGTCATTGAATCAAGTGAAGTCGATTCCATGAATATGAAAACAAATATGTTAGATCTCCAAAAATTACCGCATGTATATTGATGATGCTTACTTTAGTTTTGAAAGTAAGTTCTCATAAACTAGTATATTGAGAACATGTAAGGCATTAATAATAACGATGATGACGGACGACCAATTTCTAAATATGGTATTTTACCTTCTTTCTTCTTATTTATTAGTCGTCAAAACATTTTACTAACATGTAAGGTCATTTGTGTAAATTTATATATATTTTCTTCACTTCCCTTCCATTTCTTAGAGCAAATCCAGCAAGCTCCCAGTTGGGAGTCCTAGTTAGCAAGTTCTCAAGATAATACAAGCATTTTGTAATAAAAAATTAAAAAAATAGTAATTGGGAGGCCCTCCTCATTTTATGGAGCTCCAACAAGCTCCTAGTTAGGAGCTTCAACAATATCAAAAAACCCCTCTTCTATTTTAAATTTTTTATCCATTACTTTCAATTATATTTAAACCTTTTTTATTTCATTTCTAACCGTTGGATACAGCCTTTGAGGGAGCGCACACGGTCTTCGAGGTACCCACGATCTTCGAGAGAACACACGCGGTCAGGTAACCCGCGGTCTTTGAGGTAACCCGCGGTCTTCGAGATTGGGCACGAAGTTCAAGGTATCGCAAACTTTGACCGTCAACCGATTGATTCCTATAAAATTCGACGCATTCTCACCTCAACCCATCATCTCCCAAAACAAAATATCTAGCGCATCTAGCTCTAGCGATGATGAAATGATGAAGACGTTCTTTCTTATGGGAGCTGCTGTTGTCGAGGAAGAAGAACAAGAGAAAGGTTCAACTTTAGTTCAACACAAAAGACGTATCGTGCTCTATCAAAACCGACTGGAAGGCTACAATCGGTTGTTCCAAGATTATTTTGCTGACGCACCAACCTATCCTCTTCATTTTTTTCGTCGAAGATTCAGAATGACACGTTCGTTATTCCTCGAATCTACGACGCAGTCGTTGAACATGACAAGTACTTCGTCCAAAAGAGGAATGGTGCTAGACAGTTAGGACTATCTAGCCTTCAAAAGATTACTACATCTATGTGGATGCTCGCATATGTAGCATCCGCTGATTCCGTTGACGACTACGTTCGGATCGGTAAAAGTACGTCGCTTGAGAGCGTGAATAGGTTCGTTCAATCGATTATCAACATCTTTGGGGAGGAATACCTTCGTTCACCGACTATCGAAGACGTTGCACACCTGCTCGAGGAAGGTTCACAACGAGGTTTTCCTGGTATGCTTGGGAGCATCGACTGCATGCATTGGACATGGAAGAACTGTCCAACCGCCTAGCAATGTATGTATATTGGGCATTTTCATGAACATACAATTATTTTGGAGGCCGTAGCTAGCAAAGATCTTTGGATATGGCATGCATTCTTTGGACTGCAGGGTCTCTCAATGACCCCAATGTTCTACATCGTTCATCGATTTTCGCACAACTTGCGGAGGGAATAGCTTCACCGTGCAACTATACTGTCAATGGCCACGAGTACAATATGGAATACTATCTCGCCGACGGGATTTACCCAGAGTGGTCTACATTAGTGAAGACTATTATAGCACCTCGAGGAAACAAGCATAAGTACTTTGCTCAACAACAAGAGAGCGCAAGAAAAGATGTTGAGCGAGCTTTTGGCGTGTTGCAAGCTCGATTTGCGATTGTTCGTGGACCAGGACGTTTTTGGCAACCTAGTATGCTGAAAGACATCATGACAGTTTGCATCATAATGCATAACCTAGTATGTTGAAGATGAACGAGATTGTTAATTGGACAACAACTTCTACTTTACTGATTCGATACCAGTCGTTGAACCTTCTCATGTGCGGACGGTGCCTCTAACCGAGTTCATCCAAAATCATCATCGGATCAGGAACACGTAAACATACAAATCACTAAAGAATGATTTGATCGAGCATCTGTGACAGCTCAAGGGATCCATCACCGATGATTAAATTTCTTTATGTCTAATGTAATTTCAGCAAAGAAGTTCGAGTTGTTGTACTACGCCAATTTCATTTTTAATAAAGTAGTTGTTTTCATTCAATGTCAAAATTTTCAACTTCAAGTAGAATCATAAATCTAATACAAGATAATATTTGATAATTAGGAAGAACTAATGAGGATGCGATGCGAGTACAATCATAGATCTAATACGAGATAATATATGATAATTAGGAAGAACCCTTAGACATCCACCTCTCCAATATCCCTGTCTGACGCATTTCAAAGTATTGTCGTTGAACTGAATTGGGTGTTGAGAGATCCATCTTCATGATATCGTCATCTTGTTTCTTCTGTTTTAGATCCATTTTTTGATTGGTGGTTTGCTTCATCCACGCGAAAGCCTCCCCCATGATGGACTTAGCGGACTCAGAGTTTTTCACATTTTGTTTCCTCTTGAGCTTTGCCGCTTTCCTCCCTTCAGGCATTGCCATAACATCATCCGAGTCAGTGTTCAACTCGATGGGGGTTGCTAGCATAGAACTGTTTGGTGAGGAATCATAGTTTATGGTTCTTCTCGGCTGTGATCAAATCTTATTGTAAGTTTCCATTTGTTGGATCCACTTTTGATGATGACGCAACTCAACCCAGCAATGGTCAAACATGATGGCTTACCATAAAGAGATTGGTATAATTCTTTTACTTCTGTAGTCTACACAAGAGTTAAATTTAGAATAATTAAACGTATATATTCCTCTCTTCAATGCTATGATGTTTACATACAAATATAAAAGTTAAATATTTACTTGGTCAATAATCCCTCTACCAGATCTTTGTCTTCCTTCAATCTGAGCAACACACCCGCAGAACTTGTTGACGAACAGTTGAATCGATGACCAACGATGCATCATTTGGTTTGGTGTGCGGCTCGTTGGATCGGTGGAGTATTGGATAAAGTAGTCGTTAGCTCTGTGCCAAAACTTATCTTTGTGTTGCCCCGTATCTTGGATGGTGTCTTCGCTTGTGTTCAGTCAAGCAGACACAAGAAGCTTATCCTCGTGGACAGTCCAATTTTCGGACCATCAGATTTGTAATTTGATAATTTGATAGGAAAATATAGAGTTGTGTGGAATGAAGCAAACCACCAATCAAGTTTTGAGAGAGTTGTTAAAGAGTTGCGAATAAAAGTTTTGGGAGGGATCCATCAGATTTGTAATTTGATAGGAAAATATAGAGTTTTTTTTGAGAGAGTTGTGTGGAATGATTTGTGTAGTGAATTGAGAATTTATAGAATTTTTTACTGTTCAACGGCTAATTTTTTTACAGTTCAACGGCTAATTTTTTTTACTGTACAACGACTAATTATTTAACACACATTTCAAAACTGGGTTCTGGGTTCAAATATAGGGTTTTTTTGTAAAAAAAGAAAATTTTTTAATAGTTGGGAGCTATGTGGCACGGGCTCCTAAGCTCCGTGCCACGCCAGCCCAAAGCAGCTCCTTGGGAGCTTGCTGGTGGGTGCAAGGAGGGTTTGCACGAGCTCCCACCGTCACATAGGCCTTGAGAGCGGGCGGTGGGAACTTGCCGCCATTGCTCTTAAACTCTCAACAAGTCGAATTAAGTTTACCTTCAATCTTCTTATTGAACTCCCAAGCAACATATGACAAATTTTTCTTCTCTTTCTCTACTTTTATCTTTCTTTCCCGTCCCCCGTTGAACTCCCAAACGTAGTGTAAGGGACCAATATGTAAAAACAAAACGTATACTGTTTGTAGAGCGACCGACCAAGGCGATTTACGCCTTTTCATCGATATCCCTCAAACCCAAGAGCGGGAATTTGGCACGTGGTCATCACTTGAAATGAAATTTGGCAAATTTCCCGCCCATTCTCATCCCTAACCCCCCAAAAAATTGACGTCTGAAACCTCCTCTCTCCTGTCTCTCGCCCCCCCACCCCACCCACGCCCCTCTCCTCCCCCCCGCCACCCCACCCCATCTTTGCAATCCCTTAATTCCCAAATTCCACACCCAAATCCAACTGAAGAGCCGAAACCCTAACCCTAACCTGGATCTCGATGTCATCGAGATCCCAAATCGTCGGCCCAATCTCATCCCAGATCGAAAAAGCCTGGCATCTTCTCTCCACCCTCCTCAGAATCGGCCGCCCAGTTTCTCCTTCCGAGCTCGCATCGATATCCGCGCTCGCTCCGGATCTAGTCGAATTCCTCTGTCGGATCCCTGGATCCCCAAATTCCCTAGCCAAAGATCTCTGGCTCGCTGGTTCTCCGAAGTGAGAGCGCCTCAGCTTTGCATCAGTTTTTGCGTATAAAGTTTGGATCTTGCGTGCCTAGGGTTTTGTTTAGGGTTTCCGAGCCGAAGGGAGATTGGAGTAGTATCAGGCTGATGTATGCGAGGAAGAGGAAGCTGAGGCCGGTTGAGGCCGGTTTGGTGGGTCCCAGTGCAAAAAGGAGGCTCATTTGGAGTTCAGAGAGAGGTATGAGTGGTTACAATTGTTGAGTTTTTATGTTTTTCTAAAGAGGTTTTTATTTTGGTTCAATGATTTTGGATTTTTCTTGTAGATGTAGAGGAGGTGACGTCGGACGATCAATTTGGAAATCATAGTTGCTCTATGACGGTACTATTTTACTTTATTCGCTTTTTTAGTTGTAACTGGAGAGGCTCGTTTTATTCTTACTCGATGAAATAATTAAGCAAAAAACATGTTAATCTGTGCACAACACTGGCTAATTCAAGAATTTGGGTTCCAACAACATGCATTTAAAAAATGTACCCTGGGACTCAATTAAGAATAGATGGTCTGCTGCACATGTATTTGATCTCTATTAGTGCTCCTCTAATGGGAATGCTGAAAAGATTGATGATCTAGGATTCTAGAAATCTAATGACAACCTTTTCAGTTTGGTCATTAATTCATCAAACTCAAATTGATTAGATATATTTTTCAATGTTTTGTCTCCATTTTGGGTATATTGTTTTAAAGCACAAATACAACACCAATGTTTTAAAAAGCCTCCCCCTAGTCCGCCTAGGTTAGGCGGTACCTAGGCCGCCTGCCTAGCGCCTTGTGGCTAGGCAGTATCTAGGTTGCTTACCTAGGTTTTGAGAGCGTCTAGGGGAGTGTGGTATGCTTTGATGGACTAAACCCTTTAGGTATTGATCATGATTTCCTCCGTTGTAGCACCCACGTCCTCCAAACTCCTCCAACCTCTAACAATGAACACGTCCCCTTCTTCCTCCGACCTTTAGCAAAACCTCCACCACCACTTAAACTAAGAAAGAATACACCTAGGCACCAGTCTAGCACCTAAGCTTTCTATAACATTGGCATTTACAATCAACTATTGTAATTATAAAGTAAAAAATGGGAAAACCGTCTACATCCTGCCTAGGCATTAGGCATTGGACGGCATCGGGTCCAATGCCTAGGCTACATAGAGCTTTCTGTAACCTTGTACTACACGCACACAAGCGTGCACAAACGAGCAGACATACCTCAATATACCCCGCACACACTTGGATCATTTGTCAACTTATTAATGTTACTCCTTTTTTTCAGGTTACGAGGGTACATGCTAACATAGCTGACACTTCCGCTAATAGTTTGTCAGCCGTTGTGGCCTCGAATTTAAGTACAGGGTTAGCTTCAACTCCATCCATCCTTAGGGACAACATTTTTTGTCCAATTTCAGAAACGAAAAATGTTAACCATTCAAGAGGTGGTGAAATTGGAAACTGGGATAATGTTCACGAAATGACTCTAGGACAGGAATCGCAAGATGATTCACTACCCATATTTGTACAGAAGGAATTGTGTGATAATACACAGGTCATGACCGTTCAACAGAAGTTTCTGGAATTGTTTGGTTATGATGATGATGATCCTCTTGATTTCGTACCGAGTGCTGCTTATGTAGATACTGATGGAAGACTGCAGATACATGAGCCTGGCTCCTTACTTGACAAACCAACTGATGTTCCTTTATTGTGGATGGAAACTTTGGGAGAAGACAGCTGCATTGTGTCAGCTTCTCCATCGGCTTTCAGATATGAAGTAAATCCTGTTTCATCAAAATTTCAGGGAGCCAATAATGACATTAATGGACCTTCCATAGAGATTGGCAGTCTTGCTGGTCAGGTAGCAAGGCGAGATGAACATACAGTAGCCACTGAAGTCAACTACTGTGGAACTGGAGGCATCTTATTTCAGATGGATGCCTCTATGAGAGAGGAAAAGAAATCTGCACTTGAAGGTATGCTACTCTTCAAACCCCATAAGCTATGCCTAACTGATATGCAATTAATACTTTGGTAGTTGTAGTGATATGAGAACATTTCTCGTCACAGTTCATTACACTCCTGAGCTGGAATGTCGTGCCGAATCATTATTAGCTGAACCTGGAACAAATTTGGAACAACAAAGGTTGTTGTCAGAGAAACCTATTAGCAAGGAAGGAGTTTCCTTGATGATAGGATGTCAAAGGCCTAATCAGAAATCATGTATCAGGAGGAATGGCAGCTCTCCAAAATGTGAACAGGATAAAAGGACTGAAAAGGGTGCTTTGACAAAAGAAAAGATGAGAAGAAGTTGTCCTATCAACGCGTCATCAAAAGAAAATAGGCAAGATACTACTAAGATTTCTAAGGTGCGCTCTGCTTTTGAGAATATTATCTTCCTTTTCTTAGATGATCTGAGCAAGTTTGTATGAGGCAAGGTTTCATCATTCATGTAATCTAGTAGTTAAAACTGATTACATGCTTTTCAGACTGGCTCTGAGTCCAAACTACTGCCAAACTTTGACTCCTTTGTCATAGAGGAGGAGGAGGGTTCAGGTAATATATATTTTATTTATTCCTGTCTCATAAATGGTTCTACTTTTAAGTGATTTATTGCCTATCTTACACATCCTGATCATTTATCCTATAGGTGGTTATGGTACTGTTTATAGGGCTCGAAGGAAGGAGGATGGGAAAATATTTGCTGTAAAGTGTACGTAACCTATCACCCTTTTTGAGATACTATAGAAGCCTTCTGTAATTCTTTACACTACATCATTCCATGTGATTCCTTCGGAATTCTCTGTTAAAAAATAATCATCATACTTCTAGTTCCTCAGTCTCTCAAGAGAATTTGGCAATTTTCAGATCGTGCCAATTACAAAGAGTTTCAATCTACTCAACAAATCTTGGTGAAACTTATCATTCCCTTACCCCGTTGGAACATTAGCACCCGCTCATTTTTCCTGCCTCAAAGCTTAAAGTTACTTCATTTTCAAGTTGGGCACAGTGTTCTAAATCCAAAAGAAAATCAATAAGTCATAATGACTTGCGTAGAAGAAAACTGTCATGCAAGTTCTGCCAGTTTCTGTGCTATCAGGAAGTCAAAGGATAGTATCAGGGACAAGCCTCAGGACAAGGAAAATGAATTATATCTATCCCTTGAAGACTTACCTTGTCTATTCCTGACACCAGATTTTGATAAAATTAAGTCTTCAGTTATTTTTCTCTATTAGTTTAGACAAGTATCTAATGCTTTGTCCAAACATGCTTGTAGGAAAAACTAGTAACTGTTGTACCACTTCACTGTGCATATCCTGTTGCACATGGCTATTATAAGATCCTAACTTGAAAGTTCTTTATGGAATTCGTCACATATTAGTGTTATATATGAGCTATTGTTGAGTAGTTGCATCTTGCATGCAATTCTGCTGCCCTCCTTCATACCGGGCCTTAAATGGAAACAAGCTATCAGTTGATTTTAAGTATAAACATGGGTTTACTTCCTTTGTCAGGTCCTCATCCAAACGCTCATTCACATCATGTCCACAATGAATTGAAGATGCTGGAGCGTTTTGGGTAAGTAGCAAAATGCATCCTTTCTCAGTGTTTTAGTGTACCTCCTTAATCATTTAAAGTTAAACGTTACTCTCCAGAGGCCGAAATTTTGTGATACAGTATGAAGGCTCTTTCAAGAGTGGACAGTCAGAATGCTTTGTTCTAGAGCATGTCGAGCATGACAGACCAGAGGTGACTAGTTTATAACTTTACTTTCTGCTGCACCTGTTTACAGTCACTTTAAATTTTAAGCTAGCATCTTTCTTTTGCATGCAGGTTCTAAAAAAAGAGATAGATATTTTTGAGCTCCAGTGGTACGGTTACTGTATGTTTAGAGCCCTCACAAGCTTGCATAAGCAGGTAAAGCCATTACACTAAAAGTCAGTTATTATCTACCAGTACGTCACTTGGAATTTCTTATATATTTTTATATTTATTTTCAGGGTATAGTGCATAGAGACGTCAAACCTGGAAACTTTCTCTTCTCCCGTAAACTAAGCAAGGGATATCTCATTGACTTCAACTTAGCCAGTGTAAGTGGCCCTGCGACCTCCTTCTGTTGTTGCCTGCATGTTTTGGTGCTTGGAGGCTATTTTACTCCATTTTCAGTCTATAACTTTTGTTTGTCTTGTTTTGGTTCCTTGCAGGATTTGCATCAAAAATATTCTAAAGGCAGTGAGTTTCTACAGCCCTTGTATTTTTCAATTAGATGTTAGAATGTAGGCTTATCTTTTTGAGTCTATGCGAGTTCTACAATAAATATTATGCTTAATACAATGCGCAGTTTCTAGAAATTTTGATAATATAATTGTATAACTATTAGAGAATCTCTGTTATCCTTGAGTGTCTTGAAAAGCAAAATATTGTTTCCCAAGTGTCTGATTCTAAATTACCTAATTCATTGGATCCCTCATTGAATTATGATTTAATTTGAACATCCTGATTTTCAGTCTAAGTTGCATGGAAACGGGCATGGGTACTGGTACGGGTGCGGGTGCGGGAACGGGACACAACAAAACTATGAAATGTAGGGTACGGGGACACGACTACATATATATATTGAATTAATACTGTACATAAGATAATTTTCCCCCCTTCATGTGTCATTAGAATTAAAATTCCGATCACTTTTCTGAGTTTCTTTTATCATATTGATTATCGTGAATTATAGACTACTTAAATTTTTTTACTAGACATCTAAACGACCCATTAACTATATAGTTTTAAACTTGGGTATGGACTGAAACGAATCCGACCCGTATCTCATTAGTTTCAAAAGACGGATGTGAAGTGTAAGCTCTACGTCCAGGAAGTCTTTGACAAGTGTTTTAAATTAACACATATATCATATAATTGAGTACATGTTGTAATAAATGCATGCATATATTCAAGAAGTGTCCATGAAGTTTGGGTAAGGGAAAGTGTCGGGTACGTGTCCGGTACGGTTACGGCTTCATTATAGAAGTACCCGGGTAACATATTCAGTCAATTTAGACCATAAAACTGGTTAGTCAATAAATAAAAGAGAGTATTAATTACTAATTGATTTGAGCTCTTTAATATATACATTGCTAAGTTTAACCTTAACGAGTGAATTGTTTATCTGTGAGATGTACACCGCAACTTTCAAATTTGACGTTGAGACCATGGTTGTTTAACTAAATAGATGTAACATGTATCATTTTCTTTGTCACATACAAAAATGATGCTATCACAATTATAGAAATGTGTCAAATGACCATAGTGAACACTCCCTAGAGATGGCCATTAGTTATGATCATATCTGATCAATTCTATCCCTCCATACGACATACTGCCCATCTAGCATACCCTGTATCCATACCCTTACCGAGAATCACGCATATAACAAATCTGGTACCACTAGTCTGCTTTATTGCCTCAGAGCCTACTCCACCGAGGACATGGCAGTTCCAGGTTACCTGCATGCATTATTGTTTTGGCTTCATTCAATCATCACTGTGTTTCTGTAGATTAGTTCACAGGAAAGCTGCAAGTAGCGTTTCCAGTTGTTGGCCCGTAAGGAGATTCTAATTTTGATTGGTTCTTGCACAAGTGAGTACATGCTTTTAGTGATTAAAATATTGAAATTTAATAAGAGCGAAAAAATTGTTAGGTACAATGGAGTTTTTTCAATCACTTGATATCCCTTTTGGTTAAATCATATATTTTGGATTATTTCTCAGTTTTCTGGCATGCTATATGTCACGGGTTTTTGTCTTTAAATCAGATAATCAGTCATATTATGTTCTTATGCTTTGTTATCCATCATAGTCCATCAATATGAGTTTGGTGTAATCTACAAACTTATTCCATTGGATGCATACATGATTGCGACATCCTTCATCATATGAAAGATGTACTGAATCATTCAACTGAAGTCCATGTTTGTAAAATTAGCTAGATGATAGATATTGGTTCAAAATTTCAACCAATTGAACAAATTAAAACTTAGAACAGTTGACTGGATAATTGCAGATTCTGAGGTTTAACATACCTCAATGACTCAGACAGGTACACGACTGTGTACACATACAAAACTTATAATATAAGGGACCACAAGTTACAATTTTAAGAATTTTAGTACTTTCCGTTGTATTCTTGACCTTTGGAGCTCAAAATTTTATCCATTCATCAGTCTTTACAAGATGTTTCTCCAATCTCTAATCCATTTTGATCCATACCTGTTTCATTTGCATAATCATCCATACCTGTTTCATTTGCATAATCAATACTGAAACACCTCTCTTTCCCCGTGTTTATGATAGAGAAACCACAGACTTGTTTACATGCCGCATGCACTTCTCCCTTGGATTGTTCTAATATAGAAAAACCTGGGGACAATGGTCCTCTCCATCATAATATGGTTGAAACATGGATATGTTTTTACCTAGTAAGCGAATAGGGGAACAAAATAATATGCACATGGGTGGTGATCAATTTTGTGGGACAATGCACTGTTTTAAAAAGCCTCCGCCTAGTCTGCCTAGGCGTATGCTAGGCCTAGGCGGTACCAAGTCCATCTAACTAGTGCCTAGCGCCTAGGCGGTACCTAGGCTGCTTACCTAGGTTTTGGAAGTGTTTAGGGGGGTATTGTCTGCTTACGTGGACTGCACCCTTTAGGCCTTGATTGTAATTTTCCATATTGCAGGTTCTACATCCTTTGACCTCCTTCAAACTCTTTTAACCTCCGAATATGAACATCTCCACTATCTCCTCCGACTTTCAGCAAAACCTCCTAGACCACCACTTAAATGAAGAAAGAAATCGCCTAGACATCAGTCTGACACCTAAGCTTTCTACAACGTTAACATTTATTATCAATTATTATAATTAAAAAATAAAAGAAAACCTCCTAGGCTCTAGGCGTCGGGTCCAACGCCTAGGCCACCTAGCGCTTTCTATAACATTGTTAGTTATTATTTTAGCTATTTAGTATTCAAGTATACACGGTTTATTGTGGATCTAAGATTGCTCTCTATTTTTTGACAAATTTATATGAATTTAATACATATTTTAATCAATTATTATAATTAAAGAATTTAAAAAAATAGCCAAATGCCTAGATGGCTCAAGTGCTTAGTTCGCCTAGCAGCTTTTGTAACATTGGGACAGTGATAGCATTGATGGTCCTGTGGGAGGATATCACAAGTTGATAGGGTACTTGTGGAGGGTTTTTACATCATTGGTGACTGGGAGCACTGCACAGAGGAATGGTCTTGATGTCTAACTCCACAAGTTTGATTCTTTGGGGTTGAAATGGTTATTGGCCATCCAATAAATCCGTGTGATAGTCGAAAGCTTTGTTGGAAGTCATTGTGGTTTTCAACATAGACATACTTGCATATCTTTATCCTCTTTATTTCTAAGTTGCTATGGGTTCCTAGGAAGAATATTTAATCATTTCATATCTTAGATGACTTGGAAATGTACTTGGATCTATATCAGTTTCAACCACGATGCATTTTTCACTTTTCAAGTACTATGAAGCACCGATACTTCATTCTTGACCCTGAATCCGTGTCCGACGTGTATCGGACGCGACACACATTCGACACGCAGTCGACACGCGGTCAATGCCCCCGACACGCGTCTCGACACGTTCTCGACTCGCTGAATTCTGCCCGATTCATTCTCGACATGCGAATTCACCCGAAATACCCCTATACCATCAAAAAAACCCAAACCCTAGACCTATCGTTCGAGCGGCAGCCTCTCATCTCTCTCCCCCCCTCTCGCGATCTCGTTCTTTCTTTGAATCCTCTCTCTGAATTTTTATATGTTTGCAATGTTAGACTTGTTAGTAGCTTAGTATTTTGTGTTTGAGGATTATATTTTAGTTTGTTTGAATTTATAAATTTATCTATATATATAATAATAATATTAAAAAAAATCTAGCCGTGTCGCCGTGTCCTATTTTTTTGGGTTTTGTCGTGTCCGTGTCGTGTCCGTGTCGTCGTGTCCGTGTCCGTACTTCTTTAGTTTTCAACTAAAGAACGTAAAATAGTGTTGGATATTAGCTAATTAATTCATCACTAAGCTGTCACTTACAAAATAACAACTCGGCATAACTTTTGTTGATTTGAATAGGTAGATCAGAGAATACTTCGAGTAAGAACTGTGATCCATTATCTCTCTCCACTCCAAAGTCCACTTTACATGACCAAACTGGGAATTCTATTAAGAGTCGTGTTTTGAGTAATATCCCAAAGGAAGTGGATAAGGATTCCAGGAAAGTATCATTGAAAAACATGAAGAAGGAATCCAGCAAACGCGAGATTGAGACCTTTCATAGAATTGATAGCAGTAGCAAGTATGGAAGTCAAGCAGCTGATTCAGGAGTTACCTCCACGAAGGATCCAACAAGCACAAGGACTCATTCTGCAGATAGGTTGAAGCATCCAATTATTCCTTATAAAGGACGAAAAGAGTTGCTGAACTTTGTACAAGAGGCAATGCAAAGCCCCAGTCACAAGAAGGCGACCGGTCCATCTTCTCAGAGGAAAAGGGTTGCTGCGCCTTTAGGTAAAATGAACAGCAAACTCATGATACTGACTCCTATGCCTTTGCATTCTGGCGGAAATGCTGTTGCTGGTGCTGGCATGTTCAACAGAGGTACTTTTTTTTTAAAAATCTGACAAAACCTTACTTTAACTTTCAACTTTCTCTCCGGACCCTGCCACCTGTAATTGGCATATAAATAAAATTTCCTTGAGAGAGAAAAAACCCTCTGGGAGGAAGGGTATAGTTTACTGTAAATAGCAAATGACTAAACTGGGTTCCCCCACTCTGTCAAGGACATTTTAGTTATCTGCCAATTACAAGTAGGGGTCTGATGAGAAAAGTTGAAAGTTCAGGGGGGGGGGGGGG